TCTGACTCTCTGCGACCCCATGGACTATAACCCGCCAGGCTCCTCTGTCCATTGAATTGTCCAGGCAAGAATATGGGAGTGGGTTGCCATTCCCTTCTTCAGGGCATCTTCGCGACCCACAGATCAAACTCGCGTCTCCTGTACCGCCTGCATTGGCAGACAGATTCTTTTTTTTTCCTTTTTTCCCAATTATTTTTATTAGTTGGAGGCTAATTACTTTACAATATTGTAGTGGTTTTTGCCATACACTGACATGAATCAGCCATGGATTTATTTACATGTGTTCCCCATCCTGACCCCCCTCCCACCTCCCTGCCTATCCCATCCCTCTGGGTCATCCCAGTGCACCAGCCCTGAGCACTTGTCTCATGCATCCCACCTGGACTGGCGATCTGTTTCACACTTGATAATGTACATATTTCAATGCTGTTCTCTCAGATCATCCCACCCTCGCCTTCTCCCATAGTGTCCAAAAGTCTGTTCTATACATCTGTCTCTCTTTTTCTGTCTTGTATATAGGGTTATCGTTACCATCTTCCTAAATTTACCACTGATAGACCTAGGAAATCCAATGTTTTCCTTTATTGATTTTTGAATTTTAGTTTAGTGAGTATCAGAATCGCCTGTGAGGAATGGAGAGAAGGCAGCTGAGGGAACTGTTTAAAAATGCTGTTTACTAGGACCTATGGCCAAAGATTCTGATGTAACAAGCCAGATGTGGATCCCAGATATCTAGTTTTAATGGTCTCCCTGGGGGCTTTCAAATGCAAAAGATTCCCCAGCCACATCTGGAGCAACTCATCTTAGGACACGTGACATCATTGCCTGCCATGTGGCTTACACCACGTCGGTCCTGTCTTCCCAGTGAGACCATGGATGCCAAGACCTAAGCACTGCATGCAAATGAAGCCTGACAACTAAGCTACATAGTTTCCTCTTTCTTTTCTTTTTTTTCAATTTTATTGCAATCTAATTGACAAATAAAAATTATATATACTCAAGATATTTTACTTGACATTTTGATGTATGCACACATTGTGAAATGATCACCACGATCAAGCTAATTAACACATCCATCACCTCACAGTCACCATTTTCTTTTGTTGCTATTGTTCTTTATTTTTAATCCCTCCTGGCACATAACATCAACTTACAATAGGCAAAGAGAGTCACTGAGCAGAAGATTATTAGAAAAATAACTCATAGAAAACAATATGCTTTTGTTCAATGGTGAGAGATGTTTAACAAATGACAGTGAATTTTTAGGACAATGAAGGAACCAAAGTTAGGAGCAGCAAAAACCTCCTCTAGGCTGCCATGTCCCTAAAGGATGCTAAACTCCCTTTCAAAACAACCGGCTAGGAGAGGCCAAGCCTCAGTTAGACACATTAAACATGCCTCATGGGAGATGTAAGTCTGAGTCGGGCTCCCTACGTCACTTTGATCATACTGGAGAACTTCTAAACATTTCAGAACTGATGTGCCACCAGAAGCAAACTGAGGCTTGAATGGGTCTGAGATCAGCTGATAATCCCTCGGAAACTTGAAAGAGGGGACAGAATGTGTGTAGACCTGCAAATTCCAAGAGGTCTCTATCCTGTCCAAGCTTACAGGATATGACAGTTAATTTTATGTGTCAACTTGATTGGGTCATGAGATGCCCAGATTAAATAATATTTCTGGGCATGTCTGTGAGAGTGTTTCCAGGTGAACTTTGAACCAATAGCCTGAGTAAAGCAGACTGCCCTCCCCAATGTGCATCATCCGATCTGTTGGCCTGAATAGAACAAAAAGGTGAAGGAAGGGAGAATTGGCTCTCTTTGTACCTCACTGCTTGAGCTGGAACATCTTCTGCCCGAGGACTGGAATTTACACCCTTAGCTCTCCTGGTTCTCAGGCCTTTAGACTCAGACTGAACTACACCACCATCTGTCCTGGGTTTTCAGCTTACACATGGCAGATCATGGGACTTCTCAGCCTCCATAATCACACAAGCCAATTCCTTACAGTAAATCTCTCTATATGTATCTATTGGTTCTGTCTCTCTGGAGAACCCTAATACACAAGACCAAAATACAGAAAGCATTTAGACTAGCGAGGACTCGCTGAATGCAAGAGCATAAGAACATGTCTGATCACAGACAGTATCGTCAGGGAGTGAGAACAAAAAAATCTCCATGAAGGAGAAATAATGAAGAAGACATAGTTCCTGTTTTATTTATAGCTATATTTATATTTAAACAGGCTATGTATATGTGTATATGTATACACACACGCACACATCAAAGAAAGTTTGGCATCAGATTCTGCAAGATGTTAATGATGATCATCTCTGAGTGGTGGAATTATAGGTGATATTTATTTTCTTCTTTATACTTTTCCTGCACTGTCTGATTTTTTTAATCATTATTTATATAATAAAAAAATTCTTCCTGTTTTTAAAAAAATGAAGTAAAAATCAGACACTAGTGCTCTTATAGAACTAGCAATGGAAAACATCTACAATTAATGACTCTTAGGAAGAAGAGCTAATGTGAGATGAGATGGGGACACCTTACATATGGGTGAACTTGATTTTCCAGATCTCCAAATACTGTGGGTGAGTACTCAGGTATTCAACACAGATTGGGAGGGCAATCAGAACACTTGTAACATATTTTTAATTTGTTGCTGCTAAAAATTTGCCTAAATACGCAAAACGTAGATTTTTTAAAAACACCAACAACTAGCCCAAATCCCTTCACCTACATATCTAATTACAATAGTAAGTCAAACTGGTCTCAATAATCCAGCAATATTCATACTAAGGCTCTACAGTTCCTCCTCAGGCCATCATGGGCTCCCCAAGACCTTTTGAGTTTTTTTAAATTAAGTTTGGTTTGAGAAAAAATTTAAATATATATATATATATTTTGGCTCAACAATTTAACTTCTAGGACTCCACATTACAGATCTTTATACACTTTGCCAAAGTTACACACAGGATGTTCACTGCAGAATTGTTTATAACAGCGAGAAGTGGAAATAAGGTACGTGGACTCCAACAGGAGGTGGGTGATAGAAACAGCAGTACATCTTGAGTTGGTATATAGTATAGATAGGATTTATAAAATGCCCATAAGAATCACAGAGGTTAGTCTGCCTTGGATAATCCCAACAACATTTAAATTGGTAGACTCAGCAGAGGCAGAGAGAGAGTCAAAGTGGAGTGATTGTATGCTCCAGACCAGCAGGGAGAAGCAACTATTATAACACTTTTATTCACCATTTGACTGCACCCTTCCATTAAAAATTTAATCATTGGGTTCACCTGGAAGCTAAAAGAAATGGTCAGGACCAGAGGTGGGGGGGAATTGTGTGAAGGTGGTTAAAAGGTACAAACTCACAGTTATAACTACTAGGGATATAAAGTACAACATGATAAATATAATTGACACTGCTATATGCTCTTTATGACTGTTGTTAAGATAGTATATCCTAAGAGTTCTCGTCACAAGGAAAACACATTTTTTTCTATTTCTTTGATTTTGTAACTCTGTGAGATCATAGATATTCAATGACTTACTGGAGTCATCATTTCATGATGTATGTAAGTCAAATCATTATGCTGTACACCTTAAATTTACAGTGTTGCATGTCAATTTTTTCTCAATAAAACTAGAAGAAAAAAAATACAAGGCAAATAAATAATTGAAAATATGATAACCTTAAGTGACAACTCAGAACACAAATTGTGTAGATAGCATGATTACAACTACATAATGATATATAGCTATATATGTGTAGGAAATGCATCAAAACATTACCAGTTTTAAAAAAAAAAGTGATCAGGGATGAAGAGAGAAGATGAAGAGAGAAGGGAGCCTTAGCTCTGTTGGGTGATATATTTTAACCTCAGAAATGTAAAAGGAAAATAGTGACAAAATTATCCCCTATGCTTACTGTCCATGCTACCTATGAAGTTCCTACCTGATTTTTCATACTAAGTACTGTTCATGTTATCATTATGAAGTAAACTCACTAAAGAATGATATTTCATTTTTTGAAACCAAATGTATAGAGAGATTTAAAAACTCTTGAGGGACTCCCCTGCCGGCCCAGTGGTTAGGACTCTGCACTTCCACCTCAGGAGGGCATGGGTTCCATCCCTGGTCTGGGAACTAAGCTCCCACAAGCCACGCAGTATGGCCAAAAAATAAAATAAAAACTGTTTATCCATGCACACGATGAAAGGAGTCAGCAGCAAAAACACACATAGGACATTAGGTGAAAAGTGAAACTATATTTCAGCTGTGATGCGGAAGATGACAAGGCTACCGAACAGGAAGACTTTGAGGTTATGAGGACTTGACCTTTTCATTAGTGACTGGGCCAAGTCTGGGAAGAAGACATGGAGGAAAACAGAGTAGATTAAGGGAAATTATACAATTTCTTCTTCAAACAGGAACTTATTTTGAGTATTGCACATGCCCTATTTATAGTTTATATATTTTGACATATCTGTGTTCAAGCCAGAGCCATTTCATTCCTCCCTCTGTGCCAAAGGGCAGTCTTCTCTTTGGGCTCTCCTCAAGAACAAGGTTGACAATATTTCCAAGGATATCATAACAGATTGATTGATTCTAAAATAAAATCACACTCTGCAATCATGTAAACTTTACTGCATTAAAGGAACTTGGGAATTCACCTCCTATCTGTAAGGCGAGCTCTAACTGCTGAATTTCCCCATAATGTCCCCATATCAGCCAATTTCTCTTTTGTTGCACTTTAAAAGGCCTTGCTCTGAATCTTTGTGCTACCCTTGAATTACCCAGTACAGTGGATGTAAAACTTCTAGACATCTATAAGAAACCTACAAGTAGAAGAGTTCCATTATAATGAAGCTGACATTAGACCCTTGCAATGCAACTTTCTCCAGTCTTCCACTGGTGTTGCCTCGACATTTCAGTGGTTCTCCATATAGAGTCAAGAAAATTTTTGTTCATCATCTGAATACTCACCACAGTATAATAATTCTTGGTAAGTGGAGTTGCTTCAAATCCTTTGACAGCCTTGGGGGAGAGAGGTCTCTCTGTGAAAAAGACATTTAAATTATGTTAATATCACACAAGTCTAAGATGAACATTTTATAACATAGATCATCTAACATATTATAAATATTGTCAAGTGGAAGGCTCAAAGGAAATGTACATTTCTAAACAAATGAAGCTATAATCTTACTAAACTACAGATGGTCAAGTCACAGCTTCTTTATGACAGGGTCAAGGCAAGAACTTCAGATCCAGTTTGGGCTGTTTCTTCACTCATTTGCCTCTCCATTCAACTTATTATAAAACAGATAAGCAAAGGAATGCTAACCAAATATGTTATGTTTGTAACTTGCAAGTAACCATACAAGAATAACATAATACAGATAATAGCAGCCATTCTTTCTTGGGACTGGCTGTTTATTGTGCCCAGAATAAAATAATCAGAATCTTGAATACACTGAAAACTAGCAGGAAATTATTCTGTGTATCATTTTAATATCATTAATTGTGCTATAAAATGTTGCCTTTCTTTTACAAAGTTTGTCTTATCTATTAAACTCATGACTAAGAGACATCCCAGGATGCTTTTTTTAAAAACAAAGAAACCACTTAATAAAAATACAGGCAGGGGACTTCTTTGGTGGTCCAGTGGCTAAGACTCCTCACTTGCACTGCAAGGGGATCAAGTTCAATCCCTGGTCAGGGAACTGAGATCCCACAAGCCACCCTGTGCAGCCAAAAGAAATTTGAAAAATAAAAAATACAAGACAGCAATCATAAATGTTTAACAGTGTCACTACAGACTATCTTCCCTACTCTCATTTTGTCCTTTGTTTTTTTTTATTTTGTCCTTTGTATCATTGCTTTATGTTCCATTTTTACCTTGCTATATTATATTGTATGCTGCTTTACACTCCTTCTGAAGTATGGTAGAGTATACATAAGCAATTATTATCATCAGGCCTTGATCTTTCCTTTTCTAAAAGTAATATTTTCTAGTTTTATATCTATGACATTCCACTCCTAAAAATGCAATATATAGAAAAGAAAAACCAACAATTAACCCGTCACCAAGAGCTAACCATCATCCATAGTAACGTTTTGAAATATGTCTTCCTATTTCTTTTATCATGTGTTTGTGAACACACACACACAGTGATCTTTCTTAATTCACCTACAGCTTAAGTCTCCTATTACAACACTATTTCATGAACATTTTTCCATTTAACCTTGATTTCTAATGATTTTTATATTTAAAATATCCCTTATGTTTACTTGGCACTTAACAGCTTTTAGGACATTTTATTTGATCTTTACAACGACCCTGTGAGGCAGAGATGATCTTCTCATTTTGCAGAGGTCACTAAAGTACAGAAGGGTGAGGTCAGCTGCCTAAGGGCATGAATTTGGGAAATGGCAGAGCCAAGACTGAAGCCCAGGTGTGTCTTGACAAGAGCCTGTGCTCCCAAGCAGCAGGACGTCCAGAGATGAAGCTACTGAAGGGCCTGGTCGATGGCATGAGCAGTGGTTCCCCCTCCACCTCGGAGCTCAGAGGGGCCATCAGTTCGATCTGGGATGGTCAGAGAAGACCTCGCTGGGCAGGGGGGTATTTGATCTGTCCCTGGATGGGGGCTAGAATTCAAACAGGCTGAGAAGACACTAGAGCGTTTTCTTGGCAGGGAAGATTCCAGAAGCACAGCTGTAGAAATGGCAACACTCAAGGCAGGGCTGTTCCTGTTCCAGCTGGACCAGGCTGTGTAAAGTGGAAATACAGCAAAAACGCAGCAATGAGGGCCAATTCTCCCACTCCTCGGTGACAAAAAATGGGGCATTAAGATCTGCCTGGATTCACATGGTGGCTTCACGAGGCTTTACTGGATAAATCTGTGCAATTCAGAGCCACCCAGACTATTACTTGAGATTATAAGTGGCAGAGTCAAGACAGGAACCCAAGTACTGTATTGACAAGTTTGGTGCTCGCCCCTCCACCACCACACTATGGTTTTGGACTCTTCAGCATACTTGAAATCAACAGTTACCAAATTCTTTTAGTTTTTATTAAGCAAGTTTTCTACAGTATAGCCCTGATGCTACTTATAGTTCAGTTGTTTTGTGTAATTATGACATAAACCAGTCTGATAAAAATAGAACGTTCCAGAGAAACCAGCAAGAAGTGGTCACATTTCGAAAGCAAGGCCAAAAGGAAGGGTAAACAGTAATGGAAAGTCTGTTAAGACACAGAAGAGGAAAGGAAAGCCCAAAGGAATTGGTCACTGCAATTGAAAAAAAACTGGTAACTATATAAAATAGAACAGGGAAACATGAAAGAAAACAGTGACTGCCATGGCGATTCCTGGGTGGCTGAACATAAGGCTAACAGAGCTGGTGCTTTGATAAGATCAATAAAATTGTTAACAAGGATTTACTGAATAGCCCAGGGGACTATATTCAGTATATTGTAATGACCTATAATGGAAAAGAATTTTTCAAAATATAGAGATATATACATATATATGTATAACCAAATCTTGTACACCTGAAATTAACACAATATCATAAATTAATCACACTTCAATAAAAAAGTTATAGTGAAAAAAATTTTAATAAAACAGTCAAACTCTAGCAAGACTGACAGAGGAAAAAAGAGAGAAGACACATACTGCATATATGAAAAGTGAAATATGGGATATCACTACAGACTCTAGAGATACCAAAAAGATAATAACTAGTATGAACAACTCAAAACACATAAATTTGATAATTAGGTGTGAAATGGAGCAATTTCTCAGAAAACCAAAACTACCACAGTTCACCCAATATTAAATACACCATTTGAAGAACCTTATAACTATTGTGGAAATTGAATTTATAAATTTAAAACTTTGGAAAAAACGAAATCTCCAGGCCCATATGGTTCTAATGGGGAGTTCTACCAAATATTTAAGGAAGAAGCCATAGCAATTCTTCTCAATCTTTTCCAGAAAATAGAAGAATTCATTTTATAAAGTCACTATTACACTGACACCAAAACCAGACAAAGACAGTACAAAAAAATAAAACTGCAGACCCATATCCCTCATGAATTTCGATGAAAAAACCTTAACAAAGTATCAGTAAATAGAATTCAGCAATATTTTATAAGAACTTTACACCATGGAATTCATCCCATGGATACAAGTTGGTTAAATATTCAAAAATCAATAGAGGAAACCCATGTTAGTAATAGTCTAAAAAGAAAAATCACATGATAATATCAACAGATGCAGAAAAAGCACAGGGCAAAATTCAATACCCATTCAACAAAAACTTCCAGAGAGAAATAGGAATAAAGAGCTTCTCCAACTCAATAAAGAGCATCTACAAAAACCTTATAGCTAGCATCTTACCTAATGGAGAAAAACCTACGGCTGAATGCATTCTGAACCCCAAGATCAGGAACAAGGCAAGGATGCCTGCTCTCACTCAGCGTCGTGCTGGCAGGTCTGGATGTCCCTGTAGTCTTGGTGCAGAATGGGGAATCAACCCCGAGAGAAGAAGGAAAACAGATTTGGAAGGACAACCTTGGAAAGTCTTTAAAAATGTAGCCTTTGCAAACAACAGACCCCATGAAAAAATTCAAGGGGTGGATGCAAAGAGAAAAACACCAGTACTAGGTTTCAGTGACAGTTCTTGCCTCTTGTTCCTCCTTTGCCCTCTAACCCCCAGCCCACTGCCTACTCTTACCACGTGTGGTCTTAGCTGAAACCCACTCTCAGCGAGACACACAGAGAAGGAATGAATACGTGGAGGTTCAGAAGAGACAAGTTCAGTCCCTGGGGGTGGTTCCAAGTGACAGAAGGGGGGTCAATTTTCCCTCCCCAAAATGTCTCTTTGGCACGTGGATTATATTGAGCTGAAAACAATCAAGGCTCTAAAGACTCAAGAAGTCTTTCTTTTTGCCTCCCCCTTAGATGCCTAGAGAATTTAGGTAGAGGGCCTGTTCCCAGAACAGAGCTATCAGCAGAGACATCTGCAAAGAACATGGGCTGGGGGTGGTGGGGACAACTCTTGGAGATCAGAGTCCACTCTGTGTTCCATGGTCTCTGCAAGGCCCAGCAAACATTTATTTGCCAAACATTTGCTTTTCCATCTCTATGTCAATTGCCTTCCTCCCCTTTGAAGTCTCAAACCACTACCCCCAACACCCTCTTTTATCTTTAGCTGAAGATGGTATTTAAGGTGAACGTTTCACCATTTTGGCAACTTACTCAGTTCCCCTGGGTCTCTCCCACGTAGACATATTATTAAAAATTTTTTGTGATTTTCACTTGCTGATCTGTCTCTTATCAATTTCAAAAGAACCTAGAAGGGTAGAGGAAAACTTCTTCCTCCCCAGTATAACCTAACCAGAACTAATATGAAAAGTCTGCATTTAAATTTTCCAAGATACTGAGTGGTTTTGTTTTTCATTGTTAATAGAGATAGAACTATTCTGTGTTCAATATTAGAATTTGTCAATAAGTTATTTTAGCATGTTACTTGCTGGTTACTGTGTATTATATGTGTGATGAAAGAATTAAAGCTATACACAATTCTAATCAATAAAAAAAGAAAATATAAACCTTTTAGGCAGTGTTTCTAAGGCCATTAAAAAACTGGTCAATTCAATTCAATCAACAAAAAAGAAATCAATCAATGTAGTGAAGAATTCAAATGGGTTATTTAGCATAACTCAAACAACAACAGTGTCACACAGGTATAGACGTTAAGTAACCTTCCTAGGGCATTATGCTAAGTGAAATAAATCAGAGAAAGACAAATACTATACTGTACAATATGATATATACATGGAATCTGAAAAATAAAACAAACTAGTGAATATAACAAGAAAGAAGCAAACTCACTGATACAGAAAACAAACTATTGGTGACCAGTGGGGAGAGGGTAGGGGAAGGGGCAATATAGGGATAGGTGAGTAACAGGTACAAACTATTAGGTATAAAATAAGCTACAAGGATATACTGTACAACATGAGGAATACAGCAAATATTTTATGATAACT